TAATAATAATAATAATAATAATAATAATAATAATAATAATAATAACAATAATAGATTGCAGCAGCGATAGTAATGAAAATCCTTGTAGCGAGTTTGCAGTCCTTATCTGCACTTTTAAATTGCCCCGATTTACGATAGAAATCACTTTTTTGCGAATCAGTAAGCAAAGACGAGGAAAGTTAAAGTTGGGAGTGGCGAATCGAGTTGAAGGGTGGAGAGGAAAAGTCACGCTGGATTTTCCATCGTTGGGCTCTTATCGCCAGACGATCATCATCATCATCATCATCATCATCATCATCATGACCATAATAATTCACGATGCCGCCTGGCACCGTTCTTTTCCTATATAGGTGCATTTGGGGCACGTTGGGCATTCGGCCTTTTTCCGCTTCCGGGCTACCGCCTCTTCGGCATCGCCAAGTCCATTCAAAGCGCGGTGGACGAGAAACGTTCGCTAAAGTAGTAAACCCACACACCATCAGCCATACACACCTTTTTACCTGCGTCCGCAGGTCTGTATATTGTAATAAATGCTCGCGCCGTGAAGCAGATAGGTCAGAATAATAATTCAGTCGCACTTCTCCCGCTCCTTTTTTTTGGTCTGGTGCTAACTTTGTTAATCCCACTGATTTTGTCTTCCCCAGTCCTGTACATCTATAAGTATATATATATATGTATACCTACCCATCTTTCATATACAATTTCTTCTCCCTTGCTTAACATATATTCCCCCTTGCCCCCTCGCTGCTCCGTTCTTTTCGACTCTGGCCCCCTTCAATTGTCGGCTCACTTTCTTTCGTTCAACAGTTGTATAATTTTCTCCCTCCCTCTCATTCCCGTAAAAGGTCACGTGCACCTCTGCAGCGTATCCCTTGACTTTATTCAATTAATCGAAAGATCAATAAACGCAGTGCCTGCCCACCGTGGTATAAGTTATATCTATACATACGTACATCGGGTATAGATGCGCGTACCTATCTAGACTCTATAACCGTCGGATCAATTTTATTCATTCCGCTTGCTTCACAACTTCGCAATTTCAATACCTGGCGTACTCTGCATTTCGCCCAAGCTGCTTGGTTCCTTGCCACTTCATGGTTCCACTGTATCCTCCGCCCGTGTATTTCTACTCTTCGATTTTTCACTCACCCCCCAGATCAGCCGTCAGTTGCTCTACCACCAACCGCCGCCCATCTGTGTGCCACGATTGGGAAACGGTCAAACAGAAATACCGTCATGTACACTATTGAGCATCCACACTATCAAAGAAATACATTAATCGACAAAACAATCATTTTCACTGTCGATTTGGAACAGTCATAGTAAGTATACCACCATTCAAAGGATTTTTCTGCTTGGTAAGGTGCCAACGTATTAAATCCGGGTGGGGCAGTCATCATAGAGGGTTATCGAAATAATCGAAGACAAACAAAAAAAAGATTTGTCAAAAGAATCAGCTATAACTTTTTCACATCGTACATAACAATAAATAAATGGTGAGCGCTACACAGGTTACTTATTTAATAATTTCATGTTTTCGGTTTCTTGGTCCATTGTAAAGAGAGAGAGAGAGAGACGGTCGATGACATGGAAAAAAAAAAAAAAAAAAAATAGTATATTACGCCACTAGGGCGGAAAGTGCTTCTTCCCGCCCGTGGGCGGGAAGCCTTCGCCCGAGTCGCGTATCCTATTTTTCTCCTTAAGGGCGCAAAGTGAGAACGTATTTTGTCTGGTTAATGATCACTTCAATAGAAATTTAACTACAGGATTAAAAATGAAAAATATTTATTCAACGTCTATCTAATGTACACAAAGCTTATTTTTCTAGATAAATGATGAGAATTTTTACAATTTTATGCATTTATAAATTATTTTGAACATATATAAAAATTAATAATCTGTAATGAACAATTTATACACTTCTATCTAATATGGCTTTTGACGTTGTAAGCTCGTATGCACTCGACTGTTGATTATTCTTCTTTACGTTTTGTTGGAAATACCAACCACCTATAGATACCTATAATAGACACGATGAGAAAATGATTGTTTACTTTTTAATTGAAACACCTGATATACATATTCATTATGTATAAGAGTAGACACGTACTAGTCCATAAAATATACTGATGTGTGTATAAACATACACCGATGAATCTAGTATAATTATAATATAGAAAGCTCAAATGATAGATTTCACTGAATATTTTCAATTTTTTTCAGTTGAACATCAGGTCTACCTTCACTCCATTTCGCAACGGCAAATATCTCGTTATTTAGTTCGCAGTTTAAGGTATACATAAATAGGTATAGGTGTTTAGTATATAAGTATAACCAAGCAGAGGGACTCGTAGTCCTTATTGTACGTAAATATAGACGTAGCAAAGGATGCAGGGTGCGTTGCCCCTACGAAAATTTTAATTATAAAATCATACTAGTAAAGTAATGTATATGCCACACACATGCACGTGTTGATAAATCTACACTTGAGCAAATAAGTTTTGTACTTGCTTTTTCGAAATTTTAATATCTACGGCAAGGAAGGATGGGAAAGAGGGTGTAGGTGCGCCGTGCAACGCTACTCTCCTCGAGCCTCGAGAGCAACAGATGCGGGAGCAACTGTTTGGTCGTGTGTGTATATATATATAATCATACATGCGTCTTGATATTATACTTAACTCGTAATTTCATTATTTTCGTTTTACAACTCTTATAGGTACACGATGCTCCCTCGCGCGCCCCCTTCGTGTGTCGTGTTACTCGGGTATACCTGTAATATGATAATGCAGCGCATTATTATTGTAGCGTCGTTAGACTCTTCCGGCTTTTTATTTATAACTATCTGGTTCACCGTGCAATAGGGGTGTGTCTTGGTGGGCAAACATGTATTTTATAAATAGTGTAGTTCTCATTACTGTGGGGCGCGAGAATCGTACGTCATTTTTTTCCCCCGAAGGAGTCAAGAGTTGTGGTTTTGGTCAGTGGCAAACACTATTTTTCCTATCTACAGGGTACATCAAGCATATAAAGTTGAAAAAAAAATGACTGAAAATGTAAGGGACGAAAATACGAGTTTTATCGTCATTATTCGTACAGCAACACATTTTGGATGTTTTTGAAGGATAGATGGCATTTTTGTGTATCATTGATTAATTAGCAAACACATTATTTGTGAGGTAAACATTTTTTATTGGATCCACCCTTACAGTATTGTGAGAGAAAAAAAGCGTCGAGTATTACATGATACGAGAGAGAGAGAGAGAGAGAGAGGTTGAGTGCATGTACGTACATGTAGGTACCATAAGAGTATACAAAGTAGCGCGGCTAATCCAGAGAGAGCGGGTGATGGCGTAGGCCACGGCTATGCATGCAAGTAATTATGAATTCTTCCTCTCCTCTTTCACACGCTGTACGGTAATTCTTTTGATATATTGCGTCCACCGTACGAGTAGGCAAGCACCCAAAGCTACCGTCGCATTATATAACCTCGACTCTAACGAGAATGCGTCACGATATTATCCGGAAGAGCGCCGAGCCCTATCCTCGCCCCGGTTCCTTCCAAAAACGTTACTCTGCAGAGCTTACTTTTCTACATTTCTGTCTCTCTGACCCGAAAACCTATGAAGAATAAAATTTCGAGTCTATCAGCTTGAACATTACCACGATCATCCCACCCACCCAAGATCATTTCTCACAAGCTACACCGACTACCTGCAGTTATTTCTTTCAGCTTGATGATCCTCGTAATTTTTTTTTTTTTTTTTTTTTTTTTTTTTAATCTATACTTGGAATCATAAAGTAACTTTTTTTTTGTTTTTTTTGTTCTTCTTCTTCTCCACCCAACACGTTCCACGTTGCCCCCTATCCATCGAGTGACAAATTTAGCTCTATCGATGCCTCTCTCAATGCTTACCAATGTAATTTTAAATTCCAAAAGTTTGCCGAATTTCTAAAAAGCCTCTTCCAGTCCCAAGGTGATGTATACCACCTACAAATAACAAAAACAGTAATAATAATAACAATATTAATAATAATA